AGTATAGTGGTTGTTTAACCTATGGCATTTTATTCTCTTAATTGGTAAAATTGCACGTAGTATCGTTATAATTTATGAATTTGCATTTTGTATTCCCAATCTTAATATGAGGTTTGGCAAATTATGTTGTCACATTGTACCAAAAAAAAAAATAAAATTATGTTGTCACATCATTTTCTTTGAAAAAACGGTACATGAAATTAAATAAACGGACCATCAGAATATGACGTGTCCAAAAATAAATAGAAGAAGCATAATGGTTCTTAAAATTAAAGCATTTTCTGTTCTTTATTGGAATAAAGTATGTAATAAAAGACATCTAATGTTTGATAAAACTGTTAAGGACTCACTATCATAAGCACAACCATTAAAAGCGTGTATATTCATAGGATTTTGATTTTTGCAGCTGCTGAACTAATTCATCACGCAACTCAGTGTCTTTCCTGAGTTTTTCCCCGTTGGATCAACACACGCTGAGTGAATATATATATATATGTGTGTGTGTGATATTTAGTGAAGTGCTGCAAAAAACCCAACGACATAAAATGTACGGCCCGAATTTTTGTGTAAGCTGACCTAACCGTTAGTCAGGTCGAGTCGACCCGTCATATCTTTAAAAATAAAAATTCTTTGTTCATACTTCTTTTACTTATGTTGTATATATGACATTTTAATTTGAACATATACATACATGTGAAAATGACATTTTAATTTGAAAATATACATATACGTGAAAAAGTATGAAAAGTATGACTTGATCGATAGGGCTAAATTTCATTTTTAGTCCACTATGTTGACCATTTTTCGAAAAAGGTCCATCATATAAGGTGTCATCAATAATGGTCCACTATATTGTCACTTTTAATCAAAACTCGTACAAATGTCAACATAGTAGACTAAAAGTGATTAAAAGTTTAATCACTTTTAGTCCACTATGTTGGCATTTGTACGAGTTTTGATTAAAAGTGACAATATAGTGAACCATTATTGATTATACCCTATATGATGGACCATTTTCGGAAAATAGCCAACATAATGGACCATTTTTAAAATTTTGCCTGATCGATAGCATATCTAACAATAGCATGGAATCAAGGCTTATGTTTTTGCTCAATAACTTTGTCACATATAATTATCTAAACTCGCATATTCCAAAACATAAAATCTAGTTTCATAACTTGGAAAAGGAACAATGCGCGCTGCACCATTACAAGGCGTATTACAATTCAAGAACCGAGTAACGGGAGCTAGTTAGCTAGGGAATATGAAGCTCGTGAAGTATAGATTTATACTAGGGATATATGGCCGTGTCGAAAATAACCAAAACCGACCAAAGCGAAATACGAAACAAGAAAAAAAGGGAAGAAAAAAAAAGGAAAGAAATGTATCGTTATGCATTTCAAAAAACCTCACTAGTATCCAAGGCTCGATCAATGCTAATAATGAGGCTTCGGAAAAACGGGAGGTAATACTATATCTTGCAAGAGCCCGAAATCCGGAAACTGCTGGAACTCGTGATAGTTACTATGGTTCGTCGCATGTTGATGATGATAATCGGGCATCTGATGAAGCAAGAGATCATTGTGATGATCATGCGGGAAGCTTGGGCCGCAAGTCTCGAGAGATACTGGAGCAAATATAGACGGGGCAAGCATGCGCGCCACGTGGCCACGGAGATTCAAAGGGATATTGTGATTGTGTTTCCCTTCATATGTAGTGATCACAATTGAAGGGTCTTCGAATGATCTCTCCACGTGTTTTTTCACCGGGCATTGTTGAGTCGTGCATCTGTAGTAGCTTCTGTTTTTTATCGAAAAAATCGAAGAGGTTTCTTCTTTTAGACGATTAACAATAATTTGTGTGTAAGACAAAGAATGGACATGATAACAATGCATGTTCTTGATAAATGATAATTAATTTTCTCTAAGTTATTGTGTATGTACTAATAAGTTCATTTTGAACTGTTCATCAAACTTATGCCGTCGAGGAGTTTAAGGAATAAATTAGTTATACGGTCGAACCTTGGGTAAGGGCTGTTCTTGACGGCTTTTTGCCCGTATTTTCTCCACCGGTAACCATCGTCAAGATGATCAATCTCACTCTTTGTCATGAAAGCAAACCTTTCCTGCTTCTCCTTCTTATCCCCTCTCTTCTTCTTCTCTTTGCTCCTAATTCATTGTATTCACATATAAACCATGCAAAAAACAGTAACATTAAAAAGAAAATAAGGGGACATAAATAGAAAAAAATAAAGGGCTCGAATTGTAGGCTTTAATTTCAAACGTCCAATTCAAACCTTTTGAAATTATACATTTTAAAACGAAAAAAAAAAAGGATTTCATAAAGTTTCAAATGAAATCTTTAAATAAAATATTGCATTGAAATTTTATCTTGTCGGCAATGCAAATTTGTCGCTGTCAACTATGAATACATATTTCCGTACATTATAATTACTGTGAATTTCAGTTTAAAAATTCAATTTTAAAAATAAAAATTGCTTTACTAAATTATTACCAAAAATGTTAAATGACGAAAATGAAAACAAAATTGGCTTCCAAAATTGCATTTTTTTCCCTATATAGACTAGAAAATAAAAATATAAAATGAAAAATTGTAATTAGTTATTTTAATTATCTTACTCTTTCTTGGTTGACGCCTCTCCACCGA